AAAAATTCCTGAAAATTGCAAAATTTCCAGAAAATTGCAAAAATTCCTGAAAATTTGCAAATATTCCTGAAAATAGCAGAAATAGCAGAAATTGCAGAAATCGCAAAAATGCCTGAAAATTAGAAAAATTTCTGAAAATTGCAAAAATCGCAAAAATTCCTGAAAATTGCAGAAATTGCAAAAATTCCTGAAAATGAGAAAAGTTTCTGAAAATTGCAAAAATCGCAAAAATTCCTGAAAATTGTAAAAATCGCAAAAATCGCAAAAATTCCTGAAAATTGCAAAAATAGCAAAAATTGCAAAAATATCTGAAAATTGCAAAAATTACTAAAAATTGTAGAAATTCCTGAAATTTGCAAAAATTCCTGAAAATTGCAAAAATTCCTGAACAATGCAAAAATGCCTGAAAATTTGCAAAAATTCCTGAAAATTGGAAAAATTCCTGAAAATTGCAAAAATCGCAAAAATTCCTGAATGAATTTATATGGGAAAATGTCTTTCGGTGAAAATGGCTGGATTTTTGATGGATCTTTCCTTGGTTAAGAAAAGCCCTTGTATTTTTTGCATAGGGCCATAACATGAAGTGAACATGTACCTAATGAGGAATGTTAGTAAAACTTCTCATTGTATTTCGTCGGAAAGAATTCAGAAGACATATTCAGGACTATGCCATGATTAAATCATCTAAATGAGATTGGCATTTTCTGTTATTCAGATCACCCTGTATCAATGATTATCATTTTCTTTTCTTCGATCAAGCACCCTATTTGTGTGTATACCCCAATTCATCATTATAATCATGCATCCGATGGATCGCAATGGTTTCAGTCGATATCTGAATGTTAAAACGGAAGAATCGATGTGATAACAGTTTACACCTGTGCGCATATACTATTATTTCGTTTCCGATACGGCGACCGTTTCTATTTTCACACCGGTAACATCCCAGTCTTTTTATTGCTGGAAAATTCCACCAGAACTCATTCACACACACACACACAAACGTTTCACTATAATCACTCAATGACACCATACATTTTGATTCCCACGTGTAAACAATATGTTATTTTTTCAAATCAATCAGATCGACTGCACGCGATGAAATCTAATACAATACTGCGTCGCCACCGGTATCGGGTATCGGATGCATGATTAACCTCCATAGTGATTCATCAGTTACGTCATCATTCTAACCGAATAATTCTCGAACAGGAATTGTATTTCAGACTAATCACATCAAAATTAATGTATACGAGGTGTGGTTCAGAAAGAAATTCAATATATACAGTGTCATCGAAAGTCCGTATCATGAGAATATGTTTATTCACGCAAATTTGATGATCATGAATTGTTTTGTCTCTGAAAATGATTCAAAATTACGTCAATCTCGAAGTTTGTATGAAAAAATAACAGATAAAGTGGGTTGTTTCACAAAATTTTATATGATCCACTTAACAAATTTCAACAATTTCAATTTTTTTCCTCAATTTTCGGGCCATTGTGATTTCTAAAAATTTGAAAAGGTCATTCAATATGTGGAATACTCATCAGCAATAACAAATCCATTGAATATACAAATGTAACATCATTTGAGGAAAAAATTGAATCCCATTGCTGGTATTATACAATATAAAATTCGAAATGTCATTCCTGTTAGATACCTGAACAGTATTTATTTCTGCTTTTTTTATTCAAATTTACAAAATCATATCTATTTGGGGAAGTGCAAATATTTCACGTTTGAATCCACTCATGAAATTACGAAATAAAACAATAAAGTGCATTTTTAATTTACCTAATTTAGAATCAACTGTGAATCTATACAAACCTAAAGACTTCCTGAATTTAGTTTTATTATATGTATAAACTCTAAATTTGTTGTTTTATTCATTTTGTCAGGAAGGAATTGGAAATATCAAATTTGAATTTTAATGAATACGATTCACGCCCATGAAACAAGGCAATTTAATTTATTGATAGCAAGTAAGTATAAGTCAAACTTTGGTAAACAATCAATATTCCATAATGGAATAATTTTATATAACTCATTACCTAATAAGATGATAAAAATAGAAAAAGCAAAAAATTGTGAAATCAAATTAAAGAAATATCTGCTCAGTAAACTTTAATTCCATATCTACTAATCATTCACAATTTGATTACTTGTGATGATTATATTTTCATTTTATATTTTATTTCAATTTCCTTTATAAAAAACTATAATTGTGCAATTATTATTGTCTCGATTTATTTTGTTATATGTATGCTTTGTTGTATATATCCCTATTATAAACAATAATGTTTCTTGGGGTAATAAAGACAATCAATCAACACACTTACCATGTTGAAAAGAGACAACTTTCATACACTCAAATGAAAATAAAATCATTACAACGGAGATAATTTTTAGTTTTTCACTTTTAATAAATGGAGTTCTTTTTTTTATCACTCGAATATAAACCGTACGCTTTGAAATCTAATACGAGACTGATGGCCGATTGGTTTGATTCTAATGACTAATTAGTTACGTCATCCTTTCATCCGGTTGAATCCCAAACTAGTATGACTAATATCGATATCGATAAGAGGTATACAGTGTGGGGTGAAAAGAACTTCAATATACATTGCCACCGTTGAAGTCCGCATCATATAGAATTTTTTTACTATTTAGTTTGTTCAAATCAGGATTTCATGAACTCTGTTCTTACTTACTTTGGAAAAAGTGCAAAATGAAGTTGATGAATTTTGCAAATCAATAACTGTCAAATCAGACATTAATAATCAGACATTTTCTGTCAGAAAATCACAAAGTCAAAAAATCAATCTTTCGAACAAAAAAGATTTTGAAGTGTCACATGAATTCATTATTAGTAGAAGAAAAATAACTATTGAAAATTCCTGATACATATCGATCTTCGGTTTAAATTTTCATAAACTATCGTATTTTTGTTCACCTGTACCAATTTCAAGTAACTTCTGATCCTTTTTTGTATTCAGCTCAGCAGAAAAATCCGAAAATTGAAAAAAAGGGATTTCCATTAGAAAAAGTTACTCATGAAATCATCACACGAAGTTAGTTCATCATGTATATAAGATTATTTAAAAAAAAAATGGTAATTTGAAATCAGAATTAATTTAGGTAATTTCTGTGGTACTGATAATAGAAATCGTATTTTACTTTATTCAATTTCATGTTTAACCGTTTTATACGAAATTTTATAAGCTCTATAAAGGGTTTCCAAATATATGTCGGCACTATTGCGAACTTGTATACAATATTCTCAATCAATAGGAAATTAGATTTTTAATTATGTATTGATTTTGAAGCAAGTGCAGTGCATGACAAATAATTTCGCACCTTGTTCTATTGATTTCTATTTAATCACTCCGTTTATGAATAAAAAGAAAATAATAAAAACATCACTCACCATATCTAAAAAGAAGTAAGTCTGCTAGTCATTTATTCTCCAGTTATTCATTCTACCTTCGTGTATCTAATAAATGTTCAATTGCACTAAATTTGAGCAAAATGTACTGCCCAAAACATAAGGGGTATGCATTGTACTGAATTTATACAAATGTACCAGCTCTTGCAACACTGGACAGAACATAAATCACACTGACACAGAACATACGTCACACTGATACAGAACATAAATGGTAAGATTGCTTTCAGCTTTCATAATTATTTGTCGTTTCATGTCAAAAGCGAAATTCTAAGTGCAAAAAATGTAAAGAAATGATGAGGTTATGTTAGATTTGTTTATGGAAGAAAGTTGAGTGATTTCGTGTTTCTTTTAAGGAGATTTGATAATTATTCAGGATTAAAAACATATTCAGGACGTGTACGTTGTATTTATCTCATTATGGTCATTGACAATAAAAGGAAAGCCGAGGATACTGCTCTAGTTCCAGCCACCAAAAGAAATAGAAATGAAGTTGCCCTCAAAAATAAACACACTTCTGTATTACAGGCTGTGAGTATTATTTGAATTGCTAAAACTGTTGTGTTCGATTTCATTCACTCTTCAAATAGAAATATCAGAATATCTACCTCCATAACTACTATAATAAATATGTTTCTGTTTCAAGGCTCCTGCAAGAACATCAAATCTATTTGCACCTATTATGGTACTAGAAGGGCATGAAGGAGAGATATTCAGTGTGGATTTTCATCCAGAAGGTCAATATATGGCTTCTTCTGGATTTGATAGGAAAATATGTGTGTTTTAATAAGACCCATCTTTACTATCAACTCATGGTGTCTATTTTCAGTTATATGGAGTGTGTATGGTGAATGTGAGAACATCTCGGTTATGACAGGCCACACTGGTGCTGTGACAGAATTACATTTCAATACAGATGGTTCCAACATATTCACTTCAAGCACAGACCACACTTTGGGACTTTGGGATATAGTAACTGGGCAACGTATTAAAAAGTACAAAGGGCACACCACTTTTGTGAATTGTGTGCAAGGAGCCAGGAGAGGGCCACAGTTGATGTGCTCAGGGGGTGATGATAGTACCTTGAGGTTGTGGGATACCAGGAAAAAGCAGTGTGGGGCCACTTATGAATACAGTATATCAAACCACAGCTGTCAGTTTCAATGACACTGCTGAGCATATTTTCAGTGGTGGAATTGATAATGATATCAAGGTAATAATTGTAATCAAGATTTGTTGAAAAAAATCAAAATAATTCAGGTGTTCTAATTTTGTTTGCATTTTTCATTGCCACAGAAACTAAGAATAGATTATGAAAAATTGGCCATAATCAAATAATATTAATAATCCTCTTCCCAGTAGAACTGACACTTATAATTGAAATTCATCTTATATTTACCAGTTATTACCATGGTTGCTAAGAACTTTTTAATAAACTTTGACAAACTTGACCAAAGAAGATCTAATAAATTTACAATCTTTGTAATTTATTCAAATTGATGATTTTGAAATGAGCAATGAAAATCATATATTGTCTTCAAATATGATACACCAACAACTGAACTGTATGCTTTAACAAAAACACATTCTTTAGAAGAACTGTACAGATTAGAGACTGAAAATTTCATACAATATTATAAATAAAAAATTGAAATCTGATATTATTTTGACAAGAAATTGTGAAATTCATAGTCATCAAACTAGACAATTTAACTTATTTCACCTTGATGCTGCTATTTCTACACTGGGACAAAAAAGATTCACTCATGCAGCCTTATCTGAGTTCAATAAACTACCAGATAAAATTAAAAACTGCAGTAATATACAGGGTGTCTGGAAATTATGCGCAAAAAATCAAGGGGGTGATTCTGCATGAGAAAACATGAGATTTATTTCATATATACTAGGGTCCAGAAATGCATAGTTTTCAAGATACAGTGTGTTGAACTTTTTAGAAAAAATCGGTTATTTATTAATATCTCAAATATCCTTACACCAATTCTCTTGTTATTTAGCAATGATATTCTTGGTCATGAGTAGCTGATTTAGCCATAATTAAATTGGAATTGTGAAATCCAGTGGCGTCCCGGGGGCACCCTACCGAATATTATTGTCAATAAAATGTGCGCCACTGATTTTTTCAAATTCTATATCGTCATATTCAAATGATTAACTAAAAATACAACATTTTGGTCTCTTGAATTGTTTTGCTATTTTGCTGTGTTTCCGTGGAAAAAAATAAATACCAATTTATTGTATAAATTTGTGCAAAACATAGCTTCAAAAACAGGGGTGAAATTAAATGTGTGATCCATGTCCATTGTCCATAGACGTAGAAATATAATAAAGATTCATTTTCTTCAAATATTTCATATTACATGTTTGACACACTTTGTATTATCGAAAACTACGCCTTCCTGGACCGAGAATACATATTTCTCTATATACAGAGTGTAGAGTGTGTCAAACATGTACCAAGAAATATTTGAAGAAAATGAATCTTCATACTTATCCTATGTCTATGGACATTGATAACGCGTTCATTTTCACCCCAGTTTTTCAAAGAATTTTTGGCACAAATTTATGCAATTAATTGGTATTTATTTTTTCCCATGAAAATGAAGCAAACTATCAAAACAATTCAAGAGACCAAAATGTTGTATTTTTAGTTGGTCAATAGGTTATGGAGATAAAGAATTCAAAAAAATCAGTGGCGCACATTTTATCGAGGGGTTAACCACAGCCTGAAATAGTGTACGAAAAATTCCTTTTTCTGTTTATTTCCCTCATTTCCCATTTATTGCCTTCATTTCCTTCATTTCCCATTTGATTCCTTCATTTCCCATTTATTTCCCTCATTTCTCTTTCATTTCCTTCATTTCCCTTTCATTTCCCTTTCATTTCCTTCATTTCCCTTTTATTTCCTTCATTTTCCTTTCATTTCCTCCATTGCCTTCATTTCCCATTTATTTCCTTTATTTCCCATTCATTTCCTGGAAATTCCTCTAATTCCTTCCAATTCCCCAAAATTCCTCTATCTCCCATTTATTTCCTTTTATTTAAAAATACCGAAATGGCTTGTGACTCAAGTTGTGATTTGCCTAATATCGCCAAAATAAATGACAACAGCATTGAAGACTCGATTTAAGATTTCCTGAGAGATTAAAAAAAAAAAGAAAAGTAGTGAGGTTAATGAATTCCAAAGTGGCGATGTCTAACAAAATAATAAATTTTTGTCACATGATGTTCTAGATGTTTCAATTTTGACTGCGTAAGAGTGTGATACTTATATGCAAGTCGAGGAATTAGTCCGTTGACCAAAGTAGGTATATCAAGATGTGTTTTTGGAATAGAACTCGGTTTAGTTCAAATATTTCTAATTATACAATATATACCTACTAAAATATACGCATGAATATAAACATAAACAAAACATAACAAACATAAACAAAAAAACATTAACGAAAACCTAAAAATCTAAGATGGAAAAGAAGAAAAAAGAGAAAATAAGGAGGAAATAGAGGAAATTCGGGGAATTTCGAGGAAATAGAGGAATTTCGGGGCATTTCGAGGAAATGAAGGAATTTCCGAGGGAATTAGGAAATGAAGGAATTTCGAGGAAATGAAGAAATTTCGAGGAAATGAAGGAATTTCGGGGAAATGAAGGAAATGGGGGAATTTTTGGGCAATTTGGAGGAAATGAGGGAAATAAGAGGCATTTCAAGGAATTTCGATGATTTTGTAGCAGGACTTTGTCAATCCATTGGACAACTCATTTTGATAAAAAAAAGTTCTGATGAACATAATACAGGGTTTTCATTTCAAAACTTACCACCCTGCATATCTTTTGATCTGCGAAGATTACAGTTTTCGGAAAAAATCAGGTCGATTTAGATATCGAGGGGTAGAATAACAGTATCAATTGAATGCTATGTTCATCTCCTTCACCCCCAGACACCCCTACTTTGAAATGTCATAAGGGGATGAACAAAGAATTCAATTGATACTGGCATTTTACTTCCCCCTCGATATCTAAATCCGAAAACTGTAATCTTCGCAGATCAAAAGATATGCAGGGTGGTAAGTTTTGAAATGAAAGCCCTGTATTATGTTCATCAGAACTTTTTTTATCAAAATGAGTTGTCCTATGGATTGACAAAGTCCTGCTACAAAATCATCTAAATTTGCCCCCATTTCCTTCATTTCCCCGAAATTCCTTCATTTCCTCGAAATTCCTTCATTTCCTCGAAATTCCCTCGGAAATTCCTTCATTTCCTGGAAATGCCCCGAAATTCCTCTATTTCCTCGAAATTCCCCGAATTTCCTCTATTTCTTCCTTATTTCCCACAAGGTGTACGAGAAATTCCCCTGTGGTTAACCCCTCGCATTTTATTGACAATAATATTCGGTAGGTTGCCCCCCGGGACGCCACTGCATTTCATAATTCCAATTGAATTATGGGCATATCAGCCCCTCGTGACAAAAAATATTATTGCCAAATTCCAAAGAAAATCAGAGAAAGGACATTTGAGATATTCATAAGAAAACCGAACTTTTTTAAAAGTTTTAACACACTGTACGTTGAAAACTATGCATTTCCGGACCCACGTACATATGAAATGCAATTTTTTGCGCATAATTTCCGGACACCCTGTATGTACATTTGAAAATAAAGTAAAAAAACTGATCATTTCTGAGAGAAATGTTCAAAATTTATCAGTAAATTATGTCCTTGATTAGAATTTTTTTCTTTGTTCATTGTATTGTTTCGTTTTTTTGTGATTTATTGTGATATCCTGATTTATTATGATTTATTATTCATCTTCACTTCTACTCATGTTTGTGTAGTAGTTCATAGATATTCATTACTTATTATTTTTTAATTATCTTCTTCCTCATACCAGAACTTGTTCTGACTGGAAGATATGTTTGATTAATAAATAAAAAAATACACAGGGGGTCAAGCCAGACACATTTTGACATATTCACATGATCTGCTTTAGTTTCAGATTGTACCTATATATAATAATAATAATAATAATAATAATCCGTCTTTATTTCCTCAAAAGAATATTACATAGTAACATGAGGCATAGGTGGTATGTGCATCAGGCGAAGTTTAGCTAGGAAGCTATTCTTACACTTAACCTGTGCTCGACTTATAACCTAATCCTAATACTAATCCTAAAAACCTAAATCTAGCTTGACATCTACATTTTCACTTATTGTCTCACATGTAAAGTATGATTCAACAAATTGCTCTTATTTTTTTTACGGAATTGCGTCGATGATGATTGTTTGAATTCTATTGGTAATGAATTATACAGTATAACCGAGTTGTATGTGAAGCTTCTTTCAAACAGAGACGTGGTATGATGAGGCATCGTTAATTTAAGCTGATGTCTAATATTTATATTATGGACATTTTGTCTGAAAATGAGTTTTTCTCTAAGATAAGCTGGAGTTTGATCCTTAAGCAACTTGTGAATGAAATTAAAGAAATAATATTTTGAGGAATTGCTCATATCTAACCACTGAAGTTCCCTGAGTTTATGGGACACATGATCATATTTTCTCAAATTGAAAATGAGTCGACAACATGTATTTTGAATTTTCTGGATTCTGTAAATGGTTCTTTGTTCTAAACAGGGAAAATAAACGATGTTACAATGCTGGAAAATTGACAGTATGAGACACTCACATAATTGTTTTCTCAGATTTGAACTCATGATGCTCTTGTTTGCAAAGAGCAATCTTAATCGTGCATATGAGCGCTGTATTAATGTCTTGACATGTTCGACAAATCTTAATTTTTCATCAATGATGAGTCCTAGATTTTTCGATGATGTCGAGTATTCTAAAGATGTATCCCCTATGTGCAATTGTATACTTTGTTTGAGCTGTTCTCTCACTCCTTCAGAACAAAATAAGATAGCTATACTTTTGGTGGAATTCAATGTTAAATTATGCTGAACAGAATATTGACTGATGGCTTGCAAATCGCAATTTATTTCCTCACAGGTATCAATTGCAACAGAGGGGTCAAAATGATGCACAAGTTGTGTGTCGTCTGCATAAGTTTGAAGATTTGAAAATTTTATTTTATCATAAACGTCTGCTGTATATATCAAGAATAAAAGAGGGCCAAGAATGGACCCTTGAGGAACACCGGAAATAATGTGAGCTGGACGAGACAAAACATCATTTATTTTAACCATCTGATATCAATCGAAGAGGTAGCATTTGAAAAAACGAACAGCAGGATCGGCAAAGCCATAATATTTCAGTTTACTACACAAAAGATCATGATCAATACAATCGAAGGCTTTGGAATAATCAAGGGATATCAAAATTGAAGCCATCTTTTTATCGCGAGATCTGAATATGTCATCAGTTAGGTTCAAAAGTGAGGTAGTCGTACTGTGACCTTTGCGAAATCCTGATTGATGGAGCGGTAATATATTATGTCCATCTACAAAAGATGTTACTTGATTACATACGATTCTTTCCAGAACTTTGGATAATACACATAACAAACTGATTGGTCTCAAATCCGTGACATTTTTTGGAGAATTATTTTTTGCTATCGGGTTAACAATTGCTAGCTTCCATTTATTTGCTATATATAGTGTGTCCCACTTACCATGCTCACCATGGGTATCTTTTTAACGGTGAGAGATACGAGGTCGGTTAAATGACACCAAATGTGGAGTTTGTCAAGGCCAACTATAATGTGAAAAAATATTTTGATAAAATCTATTCGTTTTTGTTTTATACGCAAAAAACAGATTTTGATCATTTTCATGTCTCCTCCATAACTTCTTTATTTATGAAAATAGTCAAATAGGAATTTCACATTCTCATGGCAGTTTTTCAAAGTGATTTCGAAAAAAATATGAAATTTACACCAACTCTTCTAGAATTTGAGATATCAGCACCAACTTTAGGTTTTCAAATGTAGGTCATAGCTCACTATGACTTAGTTACAATTAACTTTTTTTTCTCTTACAGATGATATGTCGCAGTAATAGTTTTATGTTGATAACAATGGAGTAATCATCATTTATACATAAACAAAAAACTATTTGGAAGCCGCCATCTTGAATTTATAAATTTTAACAAAAAAATCATGATCTCCGACCTCAAAAACCCCCACTTACCAATTTTGAATGGAATCGGACCAAATCCGGTGACAATACATTATGGAATTTTTGTTGAAATTGAAAAAAATGGTTGCTCCAAGATGGCGGACAATTTGTGGTTATGTCTGATTGTCAGTGCTTGTCTAGTGTCCGTACTCTGATGTACAAAAAACGTCAAAACAGCAGTGTCAAGTACATTTAGGAACTCTAGTCCAGACCTGCCACTGAACGTAGCCTGTATGTCGTAAGACAAGAGGCCATATTCAGGAAGAGAGAGAGAGATAGAGACAGAGAGAGAAAAAATAATCCGTTCCTTCTAGGTTTGGGACATCCGCACCAAAGAAGTCCTCTACCACCTCCGCGGTCACACCGACACGGTAACAGGCCTGGCCCTGAGTCCGGACGGCTCCTACCTGCTCAGCAACGCCATGGACAACACGCTGCGCATATGGGACGTGCGACCGTACGCTCCGGTCGAGCGGTGCGTCAAGATCTTCAACGGGCACCAGCACAACTTCGAGAAGAACCTGCTGAGGTGCGCGTGGTCGCGCGACGGTACCAAAGTGTCTGCGGGCTCTGCCGATAGGTGAGTTTATTAACAAGCGTCTAGGCTAGCTAGACCAGCGAATCTGCTAGCTAGTTTTCTCTCAAACAGGTCTCTTCATGTAGTGGTCGACGGAGTTTCATCTGACTCTCTTATCATAAATGCTGGTGTTCCGCAATGATCAATTCTAGCACCAACACTATTTCTACTACATATCAACGATTTTTTAGAAGCAACTTCATGTCCAGTACACAGCTTAGCGGATGATAGTACCCTCCATACCGCCTTCTCTTCCAGGGCTCCAATACCAGCCAGGCTAATCAGAAACGAACGAGGAAGGAATTGTTACGTTATTCGGGTGCAGAAGCGAACACGACACTATTTATTTTCCAACTGATTTATTTAAACTAAAGAAACACTAATTTATATCGAACTTATAACTACTATTTATGTAAAACGATTTATAACACGCGGTATATAACTGTATCTCTGTTTGATTGACTGACTCAGTTGTTCGGCCGTTTTATATATGAGAACACAGGCAGGCTTTGGTTCGAGAACCTTCTCGAAATGATCTTCCGTCTCCTTCTTTTTGTTCTATATAGAAGCTTCTTAGAACAAACCTCTCTCTCTAATTGTTCCATCGATTGTTTCCAGAACATTCCAGAATCTTCTGTGACGTTCTTTGTCACTGCGGCATATATTGAGTGTTCGGAAATATGTTGGTGTATGTAGGAATCATTGAGAGGTTGGAGAGCAATCTGGGATGCGTGATACAGGATGATCGTTGTACTCCTGCCTTCCTGCTGATGTTTCTAAAGCGCCTCCAAGGGAAATATCATTACAGAATGTTGACAACATAAATAGGAACTTGGCAACAATTCTCGAATGGGGATCCAATAACTTGGTAGATTTCAATGCAAACAAAACACAAGCATGCCTTTTCTCTAGAAAATCCTGTCTCACTGTGCCCAACATAAGCTTGTCAGGAGTAACCATACCTTTGAAGTCATCCATTTCGAGGCTTGGTATTACTATCAGCAATAAGCTTTCTTGGGAAAATCACGTGAGATCAATTGCTAAAAGTGCATTCCAAACATCCAACCCACCCAAACATACCCTGAAACTGTTGGATTCTGTCCAAAAAGGGCAATTCGTCTCGTGGGTGATGCCTCGCTCACAAACTCACTTCTCTGGAACACCGTAGAAAAGTTGGCGATCTGGCTCTATTTTATAGATATTTTCATGGACGATGCTCTTCTGAAATATCAATAATTGTTCCTCTCTTGGCAGTCCCCGCGAGATTAACCCGTCGAGTTGAGGCGTCGCACCCCTTCGTGTGGTCACTTTGGAGACCTGCAGAACATCTCTTTCCAAGACTCGTTCATCCAACGAACAGCGAGGCTCTGGAACACATTGCCAAGAAGAACACCAATTCCTACCTTATTCACCTTGGTTCTCACGATGTTCTCTGAACATTACAGGATATCCCTTTTTATGGGAACCAGAACATAAAAAAAAGTGACGTCACCGACAACAAATGATATTTCTTCCTTCTTTATATTGAGAAACTACAACTACTACGAGTAAAGCGATAGCTTAATGGTCTGTGTATCTGACTTCCACGGTGGTGACTGGGGTTCAATCCCTGCAAGGCGTAATTTTTTTTTTAAATTTTCCCACAATTAATTTTTCTAAAATATACTTTTCAGGAAGAAGGTTCATTCAAGACAAGTTAGGTTGAAAGTACTTTTTTTTTTTCATGCAGATGAAAGACGCCTCGGGGTGAATATGATGCCGACTTGATTTTTGTTTGGCTAGGCTTCGCTGAGTCGGCGGTCTTAGGACTGCTGGCTGGAGATTACACTGCACTGATGAGAGTCAAAGAGCTCGAAACCGGTCTGTGGTTGTCTAGCGGCCTGGCTTAATCGAAATCAATAGGCATTCAGGAAAGAATCACTTGTATCAGTATTCGTTTATACGAATCGATGCATAGATTTCGGGAGGATGTAATTCAATGTCCTGCATGGCATTAGCCAGGGAAGTAGTTGTTTTTCTCCCGAAATCTAACATTGTTGTTCATTTTATGAACACTGTGTGGAAATGGCCTTTGAGCTTTTTGCATTTATTCTGATTATTGTTCTTAGGTTCGTTTACGTTTGGGACACGACATCTAGGAGGATAATTTACAAACTGCCGGGTCATAACGGCAGTGTCAACGACATAAAGTTCCATCCTACTGAACCAGTCATTTTGTCGGGATCTAGTGACAAACAGTTGTATCTAGGCGAAATTGATTGATTAGTCGTTAATGTTCAATAAATGTGTTTATGTAATTTGCGTCTTCAATAAATGTGTTTATGTAATTTGCGTCTTCAATAAAGTCATTGTGAAACCCAACTGCCCACGAAAACAGCCTCAATTACGTTATTATGCAACTTTCAATTTTTTGAGAGTGGTAACATAAAGAGTAGAATAAAAATGGACGATACCGATATACAAGGTGGGCCAAAAGAAGTCATCCGATGTTATTTGGCTCTCATTTTTTTTTCTAAATGAAGATCTTCGATTCTGTTTTTTGATTATGTTTATTTGGACCTTTAGAATTTTATTGGCCAAGTCGAGAAGATGATATCGGCCAAATGGGCGCCGCCACAATTGATTACTCTACGGGCTAGTTATGACATTTTTCATCACTTCGGCAAGATCTTCGGGCGACAGATTCTGGCACTCGTGTCGAATGTTGTCCTTGAGGGCTTCCAGGGTCTCAGGCTTGTTCACGTAAACACAAGACTTCAAGAAACCCCACAAAAAAGTCTGAAACAGTTAAATCGGGCGATCTTGCGGGCCAGAGCAAATCGCCAAAACGAGAGATGAGGCGATCTGGGAACGCCGCCTTCAGAATATCGGTTGTGGCTCGCGCAGTGTGTGCCGTTGCTTCGTCCTGTTGGAACCACATGTCCTCCAGTCCTAATTCGGTCAATTGCGGCAGAAAAAACTCGGTAAACATGGCCCTATAGCGCGCATCGTCCACTGTTGTCGTTTGACCAGCGGCGACCTCGAAAAAAATGGCCCGATGACTCCTCCAGAGTAAACAGCGCACCATGCAGTCACTTTGAGCGGGTGTAATGGCTCCTCGTGCACCACTCGTGGATTTTCAGTGCCCCAGAAACGATAGTTCGGCTTGTTCACGTACCCGCTGAGGTGGAAATGAGCCTTGTCGCTCATTATGATTTTGGTCGAAAAATCGTCCACGAGATTGAGGATGGCTTGGCTTGGATTATTCCGCTTTCTTGGGGAGTGTATCGCTCCATGGCTTGTTCACTTGTATTCTACATCTGTCTAGTTCTTAAATGTCAAAACAGATCTGACATTGGCCGCCATTTGCAAAAATAAGAGCAACTTCCAATAGGGTGATTTCTTTTGGCCCACCTAGTAGTACAATACAAAGGAATATTTCGAAACATGAAACTTTTTAGGGACATTCACAGTAAGAAGTTACAGACACAATGGTAAAGGACCCCGCAAATTTTTATGGTAAATTGGGTCCCCGTGGATTTTTCTCAATTTTTGGTATGATCTAGATTTTCATTGAGCCAACCCCCAGAAATTGTCATTTTTTGCCAGGGGGGTTTGAATTCACATTTTGATCGAATTGACCATTTATTTCTGAGGAGATGAACGATATTCCAAAACTTTTTTTACCATTTAATTACTTCTAAAAATAGATACTTCATAAAAAAATATAATGGGGGAAATTATTACCCTCAACCCCTATTTTGAAAACCGAAAAAAAAAAAAAAAAAGAATTCCATCTAACTGTCAATAGTGATAGGAAATGTTTCATCACGGATAATTATGGAAACCGCATTTTTGCATTATTACCCCCTACCAAATGGGGGTGCGAATGAAAAAAAAATCAGGAGGATTTCGCTGAATTTTTTATATGATGTAGTCTAGAGTTCCTAAATGTTCTGACACTGCTGTTTTGACGTTTTTTGTAGTTTAGAGTACGGACACTAGACAAGCAGTGACAATCAAACATAACCACAAACGATTTTGAAGCAAACCACATGTTTTGCGAGACAAGGACAATAATATGTTTTTCGCTTAGATAAAGGATCCTCGCATCTTCCATCCTCCACAAGTCCTGGGAAGAGTACATCCATATATCTTTCTCTGTCTTTGATTTTTGTATGAGAGGGCATAGCGTCTCCTCGAGTAGGTAAAAGGGTACGATAAATTGATTAGAAAATTATTTCTTCTCGAAATATTGAATGATAAGGCTGAAGGACCTCAATGGAGGTCGATATCAAGTTAGTAGGTACATAATATACATCAACGAAATACATATAGTATTCCTATAGAATTAGTCTCTTATATGTAGGTATATAAATTCGTTCAGTTGAATATTTGTTTATCACAAAAGTTCAGAATGGGGTAAAAACTGATAAATTTCAAGAAACATACTTTTATTAGTACAAGAGTGGTAAGTTATAAGTAATTAATAAATAAACAAATGATATGGCAACAATACCAGCTAATTTCAGTTAGGATAAATAATATAGGTTCTCCAAGACATACGGAAGTAGGTATAAATGGACTTCACAGCGCTCGACTCACTATAGATCGCCGTTCACATTGCTAAAGGGGATTGTTGGTTGAACCCGGCACCCGGCCATCGGAAGATCATTTTCAATACCTAAATAAATGGTGCACTTGTTAAGCGTTCTTGTTCTGTGCTCTGATAATATTTTGCTCGTATCTTGGTACCCAAGAAGTGGTTCAAAATCCACTAGGAGCTATGTAGTCGTCTAGCACTTCTCAACTACGCATGAACATGCACATTCAGACTTGGGATTTCAACTTTGCAGAAGCGATTCACGAACAATATATTCAACTCTTCGATATAGATACATTAATATCTGGTACATCAGAGTTCCATAAAGTGGCTATATGTTTTCACAAAATTATTATAGTAGTTCCTATACGAAGATGATCTAAAGAATTCT